CGCGCGCGCGCGAGCGTATACGAGTGTGTATGTGTGTGTGCGTATTGGTGTATATATGAATGTCATTGTATCGGTGTGTGTATGTGTGTGCGAATGTGTACAAGACCGGGCCTGAGTCAGTGTGCTTATGAATGGATGCATGTACATAGAGTACGATTTTAGAAGTCCCATGACCTACTAAAATAGTATGTGTCACGAGGCGGTGGAATCAACCTCTCGTCAATTTTTGGACATGTAGAGTTATTGGTATCATCTTAAAGCTTGTTTATTTATCTTGCTGTCGATGAAAAATCATCCATTTATCTTTAATAGAAGTCGACGTACTTTGGATTGAAGTAGGAGGGGGGGGGGGGAATTAGCGAGAAAATGGCTGCCAAAGTTTGTTGATTCCCAAAACTTGAGAATCTTCGGGAGCATCAAATTTACTTTCTTGTGCCTTTATCGAATGCTTTTTTTTTTATCTACACATAAGCCTGTTTCAGATGGGTATAAAAGGGATTGAGCCAAACAACTAAAACTCAATAATAATAACTAAGAGGGCGGGGAAAATGCTTGTTTCTTCAATTTCATTACTTTGACGAGCGCCTAATTTCACCACGCTGCCTCACTTATACAGCCACGAAAACTAAACACTGTTTCTCTCTTTCCCTTCTCTCGTTAGGTTTGTCGTCATTTTCGGCCACGTCAGAGATCGGCGCTTGGCATCGGCATACTCCCCTTAACGCTCAGAACAAGATCGAAGTCTTTTTCAACGTCAAACCATCTTCGTCTGGGAAAGATAAAGACGCAGTCACAAGCTACTGTTTGATGTAAGGCTGATTTAACAAGTCGACTTCGTCGTTTTGTGCTGAAAACGTCATCATACTGGGCTGACAACGTCATCATTTTGTGACCTCAATTCTGACAGCGTAGTTAACACAGAAGACACACCGAGGACACTATATTTCGCTCTGATATCGTCATCGTTTTTGTGCCTATTACGTCATCAAACAGGGTACGCATCTCCTGTGTGGAATCATCACAATCCGGACGCTATATTGCCAAGTAATTGCAACAGAACATCATTTCTGACAATCCTCGCTTACCTTGCATTCGACCGCTTGACAGGTGATGGGTAAAAACTCGTATTAACCACCGCACACCTAAATAAATAATTACAATGTCAACAAACGAACAAAAAACACCACTCCCCCCTACCCCCTCCCCTCCCCCGCTCACAGACAAAACCCTAATCAAAAGCAAGAAAAATAAAACGAATTCTTCCTGAGCGGTGGGGTTGTTGTTGTTTTATTTTTTGTTCGGGGGGGGGGGGGGGGTGAAGGTTCCTTGCAAAGACCCAGAAAGATTAAACAGAGCGATTTGTTTCTATCCCGTTTTAACCGCGGTCAGACGAAAGTGATCGAGCTCTAGAGAGGTGAGCAGAGCAAGCCTGATTTCCTGTAAAGTCTTCTTTGTTGACATCCACCCCTTGGCGCTCATATGACCTTATGCAGTTGCGAGCGCCATAAAAACCTTACTATAACAATACAAAAGATACTCTGTCTTATAACACCACTTTGTTGGGAAGGGAAAAAAAGGTTGGGGTTTGATTCTGTTTTTGTATTTGTTTTGTTTTGTTTTCTTGTTGTTTGTTGTTGTTGGTTGTTGTCTTGTTCGTTTACTTGTTTGGGTTGTTGGGGGGGGGGGGGGGGTTGGGTTTTTTGGGGGGAGGGGTTGTTTTAGGGTAAGTGGGTGGGGGGAGGGGGTTATTCTATCTTATTTTATCCATCATTTTTTCAGTTGGAAGGGAGATGGGTAGTTGGAAAAGAATGCTGTCGATAAGTTGTTCCTTTTCACTTTCAGTCAAAATTGGTAAGTTGACCAGTTTAAAATAACATCTTGCTCTTAGGTTCTCCATGTTATTTACACTTATTAGTATTTCAGTAGTATTTTGAGACTTTTAGTAATACATGTGACCATCCTCCCTCTTTATCATCGTCATCGCCTCTCTCTCTCTCTCTCTCTCTCTCTCTCTCTCTCTCTCTCTCTCTCTCTCTCTCTCTCTCTCTCATTAGCAATGACAGGCGACTAACTAATGAACTAACTTCATTAACATTTGCAATTTTTTTTTTATTCCCAACAGCACGACTGTATAAACAGACTTCACACCTCACTCAAGACACACCGTGTTAAAACAAGCATCCGTTACACAAGCGACATTTGGATGAGGTTTTTCTTCGTGAGTTCTTCAACGTTCACCACAGCCTTTTTTTTACCAACTGTACTGCATTGTGGGACTTTAGCGCCCACCCACGAAGACCCTCTGTTGGACGGCAAGAAGGATAACAGCAGTCTAATTCTTGCGTGTTCTGATAAAACAAGTGTTAGTACTAGTGACGTTTGGATGAGGCTTTTCTTCGTGAGTTCTTCAACGTTCACAACGTTTCTTCCCAACTCTGCTGCATTGTGCGACTTCAGCGCAAACCCTGCTTTGAACGCCAAGTAGGATAACTGCACGTCTTGTTATTCTTGCGCATTCGTTCGACCGTGAGTGAGTAGATCAATTTGTTGACTGGCTGACTGACTGACTGGCTGACTGACCTTCGTCGTCATCAAATCGGAGCGGCTAATTAAGTTGTGGTCACGCTAACGTTGTGTTTACTGCAACAAGGAAGCTGGCGTCCAAATAAATAATTTCGTTTTGTTTTTTATTTATTCGATTTGAAGGCTGGTTGTTGCCATCATGAAATAACAGTTTTTCCCCACAAAAGTTTGGTGGGGGAAGCTATATATATATATATATATATATATATATAGCAATCGTTCTCTTTAAATAAGACTCCAACTCAAATCTACATCAGCGGGGAGAACGGCGTTGCATCAAATTGGCGTGAGATTAAAGTGATCTGATATAAGTTGGTGTGACATCTAGTTGCCTTGACATCAAAATATCTTGGCATTTAGTTGGTGTTATATTAAGTGACAAATTGGTTTGATATCTTGTTGAAGCAAGACGTAAAACATTATCCTTATCAGTGTAATTAACACTAACCCAACAGACAATTTGAGATACTCTGGTCAGAGAGGTGGGCACACTACCACCTTCACACCCTACCTGGGGTTATCGTATCTATCTCCTTTTTTTTATCCTAACTCTAAAGACCACACAATCTGTTTCGGAATTTTGCAACTTAGAGGTGTATACCAGAACGACAGTGTTAGAAAGGAGGTGAGACATTTGACAGCTTATCAGTTTACGCCTCAGCTGTATACGAAAGTTAAGGTGAAAGATTTAGGAAACACACTTTCTTTCGGAATTTTGCAACTCAAAAGTTTACATCAGCCGTTCTCAAACGTTGGATGTCTGAGATTCTGAAGGAAAAATTCTCTTTCTGGAATTTGACAACTGGGAATATTTAACCTGACCGCACGATTCTCAAAAGGAGGAGGAAAGAGGAGAAAGGAGTGTGGTGAAGGAGAGAGGAGAAAAAGGGAGGAGAAGAAGCGTGGGGCGTGAAGAAGGAGTGTGGAGAAGGAAGGAGAAGGAGGCAGGAGAAAGAGAGAGGAGATCCCTCAGGGTCCTTCATGTAACACAAACTTGTTATCCTTTTCTCTGAGATTTTCTACTCCTCACAAATCAATGGCGCTTTTTGCCTACGCAAGTCTCCGTTGTTACAAACTGTGTTACCGCAAAAAAGAACGGGACGCCGCCTCGCGGTGAAAGGGGCATAACTCTCGCTACCATAGAGTAAGAGAAACGTTGGGATTTTTTTCTCCTCTGGAGTTGTCTGTGCTAGTGGAAAGACGAACTACGGTATAGCTGTCGTGGGCACTGCTTGTGAAGAAACACTTTACAGTGTAGATAAAAGAAAAACTTAACAGTGTAGATATTGTCTAGCCTTGTGAAAAGACAAAATATAGTTTAGATGTCGTCTATTCTTGTGAATAAACGACATACAGTACAGATCAGTTTTGCTCTTGTGAAGAGACAAAATACAGTATAAATTTATCTGTTTTTGAAGAGAGACAATACAGTGTAGAGGTCGCCAGATATCATAATTCAGAACGGGACGCCTATCTAACTCAGAGGAGGACTCTCACAAGGTAAGAACTGATTGTCTTATTCATTTTTTCTTTTCTCTTTTTTAAATTTTTTTTATTTTAAACGGTTTATGGCGCTCGCAACTACGGAAGGTCATAGGAGCGCGCGGGACACATTAAACATATACAATCGGTAGAAAATTTTGAATTGGCCGAAGCCTACCTCTTATCGATTTTAGATCACCAAGGGATCTTTAACGTGCGAAACTTGCACACGGGACCTTCGAGTTTTTTTCGGCCTTGTCCGTGAAGGCTAGGTGTAGATCTTTCCTACCAGAAGATTAGGGGTTTGGCTGAGAGACAGCAGTAAGAAGGAGCCAAGGAGTAGCGGTCGCAAGGCTTCAGAAAGAGTGAGGGGTGGGGGGCAGAAAGTGGAGACGAAAGCAGACGATAGAACATTGCTAGGGAGCAGGAAAGGAGGTGAAAGGAGACAATTGTAGAGAAGAAAATCTTTCAGTCGCTACCTGGATTCGAACCCGAATAAGAATGAGAGGCGAACACCTTAACCTCTAGGTCACGAGCAAGAACTGATTGTTGCCGTTTAGATAGGCAAACAGACAAACATACAGATAGTTAGACCGACAGATAGATCGGTCGATCGATAGATAGATCCATTTATAATATTTCACAATCTGTTTTCTATTTTAAATAACATATGTTCCCATGGTGTCTCCGTTGGGCTCTTCACTGGTGTATGCAGAAGGGATGAGTTTGATTCGACCGTAGAAAGTTTGTTTGTTTGTTTGTTTGTTTTTGTTTTGTGAGGTATTTTTTGTTATATTTTGTTTGTTTTTCTTTCTTCCTTACACACAACACCCCTATCTATCTGCCGGGACGCTGTTTCCTACTTGGTCCGAGTTGTTTTGGTTCTGTCAAGAACGATCAAAGTAGTCTGCATCCTAAATGCTAAACTTGTCGTTTATGAGAGTCTGGAATATTTACACACGAAGCGAAAAAAAAAACTAAATTAAAAAAATGTTACCCAATCCAGTGAGTATCTATAGGTATCGATCATGGGCAAGCCCATAGCAGTAAAGAATTATCATTGGTATCGATAATGGGCAAGCAAGGTCAAAGTAATTTGTGACGTCACGAACGTCTGGTTCTTACAAACGCGTTACAAAAATGTGTCACGAAGAGGTGAAATCAGGCGCTCGTCAATTTTTGGGCATGTGGAGATATTTGTACGATTTGATAACGTATTCATTTACCTTGCTTTCATCGGAAAAAATACCCGTCTGTCGTGAATAGAAGTCAGGATATTTTCAATTGAAGTAAGGGAAGTCACCTGGTTTCAGTGGTATAATTAGCGAGAAAATGGCTGCCAAAGTTTGGTAACCAATAACTTGAGAGGCCTTGAAAACTGAAAAATCACATATTTTGTGCCTTTAATCAACGTTTTTTTTTCAGTAAAATTCACGCAGAAATGTGTTTTTAAATTGACATCTTTTGTAACAAAAATTTGATAAAAATTGCAAAAACCAGGAGAAAACTGCCGTTTCGAATTCAGTATTTTGACGAGCGCCCGAGTTCTCCACGATGCCTCACAAATTTTAACAATTTTTTGACAAGCTGCAACAACGAACAGGACCGAATGTTATTCCTGATCAAACATTACACTTAGCTGATGGGAATCAAATTTCTCGCTTATAACGGCGAATAATCAATTGGATTGTTTGTTTTTATTCCGGAGCACCGGCCAATAAACTCTTCATCGTTATCCGAAATTCCAACAAGACACAATTTATCACTTTAGCGGCATAATGATGCGGAGGCGAATGGCGAGATGCTGCTCATAAAGTGCTCCTGACAATAACTACTTTAACAGTCTCTCTCTCTCTCTCTCTCTCTCTCTCTCTCTCTCTCTCTCTCTCTCTCTCCCTCTCTCTCTCTGTATGTCTCTCTATCTATTTCTCTCTCTCTTTTTTTCTTTCTCTTTCTTTCTCTTTTTCTCTCAGTCTTTCTCTCTTTCTCTCTCTCTCCCCCTCTTCTCTATGTCTTTCTCTCTCCATCACTCTCTCTCTCTCTTTTTCTCCCTCCCTTCTCTCTCTCTCTCTATATATATATCTCTCTCTCTATCTATCTATCTATCTATCTATCTATCTATCTATCTATCTATCTATCTATCTATCTATCTATCTATCTATCTATCTATCTCTATCAGCCCATCTCTGTCTTTCTCTCTCCATTTCTCTCTTTCTCTTTCTCATTCTCTCTCTCTTTCTTTCTTTCTTTTTTTTCTTTCTTTCTATCTTTCTCTTTTTTTCTTTCTTTCTTTTTTCCTTCTGTCTGTATATCTCTCAGCCTCTTTCTTTTTTCTTTTTGCCTCTAAACACACACACACACACATACACGCACACACACATACACACACACACACACACGCGCGCGCGCGCGCACACATACACACACATACAAACACATATACACGCACACGCAGAAACACAACATACACACGCACGGGCGCACTCACGCACGCACAAGCTATTGGACCCATCTGATTATCCGAACATGCGCACAAGCCAGTTCTGTGGTGCTGATTACAACTCGCCGGCCATCCCACTCCACAATAGTTTTTTTGTCTTCGCTAATCCCATTCACTATTTGCGTTTCCGAGCTAATCCCCTTCTTTCCCATCCTTCTTCACCAG